TTATCTTTTATATTTTGTCCTACCTCCCTTCGAAGACAATGGGCTGCTTTTCTGGGCGCCTGATGTCCTCTGCTAGCGATCAGAAGTTGTTTTGTGAAATTTGCTCAGCATTCAAATGTTCTTTCGATGAATTTGTAGGAGAAAAAGTGGTCTCCCCGTCCTATTCCTCCGCCATCTTGGCTCCTTCCCGTATGGGTGTTTTTCTAAAGGCCCTTGCCCCTTTGATTAAAGCTTTCTTGGGAAATGCCACATCCCTGAAAGGCCCTGAGTACTTTCTCTACTGCAGACCTTGCAGAGAAGGAATCCCTGTCCCAGGAATGATAAGAGATGGGAAATCCTTGGCGGAAGTAAGGGGGCCCAGTAGAGACCCGTGAGAGAAACAAAACGTGATAACCTGTCCCTTCTCTCCTTCAGCCAGACTTCTCAGGCAACCTCTGTTCTAATAAGTAAACTTTATATTTTAGATCTAATAGATATGTCTTTACACAAAGAAATGGCTGTGAGATGATTTTTTTGATCCCTTACTGATCTTATAAGCTTATCTGAAACTTAAAACTTTCAGATCTTTTAAGATGTTTGAAACCTCGTATGTATGGATAGATGATCCTACTGTCAGCAAATACTCTCTTTTTTCCTCTCTTCATATGTCACATTTGTTTTGGCTTTATTATTGCTCTGGCTATGTATTACAATGTAATAGTTCAAACTTAGAGTTTTTCTTCTTATTGTTTCCAATATATTTCACAGTAATGAGAATAAGGGAATTAAGTGCACAAGGTCAGCTCGGGCTTGCAGGAGTGAGAGGGTGAGCTTTAGAATAACTCAGATCAAGGGCCTACACCCATCCCTGTCACATAAGCAGCTATGGGAAGTTTGTCACATCATTAAACTCTCTGAGAGTGCCTTGGGCTCTTTAACTCTGAAGGGAGTTTGGCAAGCCCTGCCTGGAAGGACTGGTGGCATGTGGTGGTAACTGTAAAGCATCTGCCACAGTGCCTGGCAGGCACCATATCCCTCCTTTCTCATGACTGGTGGCTGTACTTTCCAACAAAGATCTGGCCTCCCTTAGGCCTGATACAGGGCTTCCCTGGTGCCTCACCAGTAAAGTGTCCGCCTGTGATACAGCAGCAGCAGGAGACGCAGACTCAGTGTCTGGGTCAGGAAGATCCCCTGGAGGAGGAAATGGCAACCCACCCCAGAATTCTTCCTTGGATTATCCCATGGACAGAGGAGCCTGGCGGGCTATAGTCCACGGAGTCACAAGACAGTCCGACATGGCTTAGCAATTCAACAAGAAGAAGAAGAAGGCCTGGTATAAATAAGTGAGGGAGAGCCTTGCCTGACAGTCTTCCCCTGAGCTTTCTAGAACTGATATCGAAGGGTAGGGCATGACTCTCTTTTGTCCCTCTATTTAGGGATGAGTAGACCCCTCAATCTTCACTCAGGCTTCACAATTTGACTTCTGGTGGGGCCTGGGGAATCCCCTCCTTCTTGACCTGAGGCCTATCTCCTCATAGTAAGACCCATACCTCCCTGTGAGCCTGGAGGAGGAAATAGGGTGGCCTTATCTAGCCACCCCTGCCCATAGTCTCACAAGAATGAAAGCTGTGGCAAGCTCCTTGAGGATGACAGACAGTTCCTCTCAGGGTCCCAAGTCAGGGTCCAAAGTTTGACTCTCAGCCAAGCCCAGGAATCCCTCCTCTGTTGACATGGGAACACCACCATCAGACCAAAGTTCTAACTTTCCTGCTACTCCTCGGTCAGAACTGAAGGGCCTCTTTGCTTGACAACTCTGCCTGAGGCCTTCTAGGCTGAGAGTAGGGAACATACTGTGTGGCCACCCTGGTATGTGTGTTTCATCGTTCTTTACTGTCCTCATCCTGTCTTGGATAAGCTTGAAATATTCACTAACTGGAAACATTCCCTGACTTTCCTTAAAGTTTCTCCACCCAGGCCACTAATTCCCTGATCCCTGAGGAAGAAGAGCAGTTTGCCTCATGGGCCACCACAGGCCATGGTCTTCTGAGGCTAACAGCAGTGGAAGGAATATGTTCTGCCTCCACTGTTTTGAGGCAGATGGTCTTTTCAAGTCTTCAAGTTCCTTACCTTGACTTCTGGCACAATCTGGAAATCATCCTTCTGCTGAGCTGTGGCTGCTCCCTTTGATCAGGATGAGGTTCGTTACCTCCATGTGATCCTCTGGGAGGAAGTGAGTAGGACTCACCATGTCACCAGGCCTACATGGCACAATCTAAGGCCCAACAGCAGGGACAGTGCCCTCTGTAGCTCCCTTCTTTCTGGGAAGGATCATTTGTTGTTGGTCAGTATCACCAGTTGACTCCTGTTAGGAACTGTGTACCCTTCCTCAGCTGATAGAGGCTTCCTCCATTAGTCCAAGGACTTTAATGCCCTGAAGTCATTTTCCTTCAGGAAATAAGGGATACACTTACTCTGAAATCCCTGCCTGTTCCCTCCCAAGGCCCATTACATTTGCAGGACTTTAAGAATTAATGTGTAACAGGGTAGTTGGCTGCCACACTCCTCATACAGGACTGTGCAAATGTCATGCCTGACACTTCCACTTTCTGATGAAGAGCCAGCCTATAAACCAAGGTCATCTTCTTGACATCCTCCATGCAGAAGTCACGGGGCCTGTGAGCTGGCCAGCACTTCATTCTCTGCCTCCCAGGGTTCACTGGAGAAGATGGGCTAAGTGTAGCCCTGTTGGCTGTGAGTTGAGGGGCTTCCATGTCCACACCCTGAGTCTTCACTTTGACTCTGCACCCTTCCTGGGGCTCTATTCTCTGCTGATTCCAATGTCCCCACCTTCCTGGGACCTGAGTTGAAAGTATTAACCACAGCAGCCCAGATAGTTCTGGACTTCATGGGCTTGCCAATGAGGACAGGTCTTTACAGGATCCTTCTGTTTTGGATGGGTCTTTCCATCACCCTCATTCAGGTTAATCACCATCATTTCTGAGATTGATTCTCTCTACCAACCTCAGAACTCTGTGCCAAGACCAAGTTTCTTAGGTCTCTGAGAAGCCTGAAGAATAAGTGAGGCTATGCTAAGGCTAATAGGCTTAGCCTAACAGTTCTGAATTCCTCCGTGTCTGAGAGCAGAAGGGAATGCTGTCCCAGTGACCATCATCCCCCATATTCTGGGGTGTTTCTCTCCTCAATCCTCCTACATGGGGCCCTCATCTTGCTTTCTGTGTCTTGGATTTAAGGCCTTTGGGGAAATTCCACGTCTCTACAAACTCTTGAGCTGTTTGCTCTGTAGTGCTACAGAGAATGGGTCCCTGTCCCAGGAGTGATGGGAGATAGAGAAGCTATAGTCCAAGATAGGAGTCCCAGGACAGGTGCTAGTCCTTTAGGGAGAAAAAAGTAGATCAATCTATCTCATCAGCCAGGTAAAGGTTCTCATGTCATTTCTCTTCTGATAGGTTTACTTTCTACAGGGAAGAAACTGTAAGGATGATATGGAGACTCCTTGATCTTCAAAGGTTATCTAACGGTTGGCCAATGTATATGCTTATACTGTCTCTGAATATTGTTTCTTTCACTTATCTATGAGTAATGAATAAGGGGTACATATCTCTGATTAAGTATATTTGGTATTCTTCCTGTTCTGGCTACACACTTTGATCCAGTATCTTGAGCACAAGGGCATTCTTTTCTATCACCTAGGACAAATTTTGGAGTACTGAGAAAAGCACTGAAATAAAAGAAACAGGGTGGGGACTTTCTTGGTGGTCCAGCGGCTAGGACTCCAGGCTCCAATGCAGGGGGCCCAGGTTTGATCCCTGGTCAGGGAACTAGACCACACGTGCAGCAATTAAGATCCAGCACAGCCAAATAAATGAATGAATAAATAGTAAATAAGGAAAAGGAAATGTCAAATGTTAAAAGTACTTGTTAAAAAAAAAGGCAAGGGTATGTCTCAAGTTGGAGGGAGAACAACAGTAGGAGTGCTAAAGTAGTTTAGAGCAGGTATTTATTCCCTGATGTCATTTACCAGCCTCATGTATTTTGGCACAAAACCAAACTCTATGAGCCTTGGGCTCTCCACTGTGAAGTAAGTTTGATAAGCCCTTTCTTGTCAGATTGGTGGAATATAAGTATTTATGGAAAGCTTCTGTCATGGCACCTGTCTCTATTGAGACATTAGAAGCAATGGCAGTTATTACTATGATTATCTTGACCTCAGATGTTACATCAGCTGGATTTTTTTTTCATTTATCAGATGTCAGAAACTACGCAGTGCATAAATGCAAAAAAAAAAAAAAAAAAAAAAAAAGACCCAACCTCCCAAATCAGCCAAAATTCTGCTTAGTAATGAAACCAAAGTAATATGTTCTCTCCAACCCCTCTTCACCCTGCTTCTTTCTTGTTCTTCTTTGAAGTAGAGAGTATCTCAGCCTCTTCCATAGAATGACAGCATCTCTGAGAAACTCTAATGAATGGACAGAGGCTAGGACTTTTTTTGACTAAACATCACCAGTAGAAGCATGAAGACTTCTTAAGAGCAGATTCTCAATGTTTGTGTAAAAGAAGAGCCATGAATGAATCATTTGCTGTAATTTTTATTCTCAAACATTCTTGAAAAACCTAAGCAGATGCAAGTATGTATCTTTTACATTTGCAAAAAGGGAGACTAAACACAGAGTTAAAGCAAGCCAAAAAGGAAGAAATTTCAGCTATCTCCCTAACAATGTATCGATGTTCTGAGCCTCCATTAGTGTGGTGGCTTTCACATTTCTAAGGACACTCTTATCCTAAAGTGATGTTATTCTCGTCCTGGATCACAAAGTGATGTGAGGATTTCCAATATTTATTTTAGAAAACAAAATTCTTACTCCTAAATTAGACAAACAGCAAACTGTGGTGACACATGTTATTCATATACTTATGTCATGAACCTGAAAAAACTTTCTGCTGAAAAATTTTAAGAACTGGAAATTGGGGGACATAAAGTCAACAAATTATTGATGCATATCAGGAACACAGGTTGACAGGCTTCTCCGGCCACAGAGTGAACAACGGGTTTCAGACCACACTAGGGGCGAGATGAGCGGCTGGATGCGGCCCTGGGGTGCACAGTAGCCGAGGAAGAAGGGCCAGCAGTGGCTGAGGCGGTAGTGCCAGGCCCAGTTGAGGCAGAAGGGCCAGCACTGGCTGAGGCAGAAGGGCCAGCACTGGCTGCAGCTCTGGCTCTGGTGCTCTCTCCTTCCTCTCTCCAAGCCTCCTCATAATTCAGCTGGAGGGCAGTATTGGCGGAACGGTGGACCTTGGCCAAAAACTCCAGGACTTTCGTCTTGCCGGATTCTGTGAGCACTTTAGGACCCCACAGGAACTCATAGCGAGGGGGATCGCTGCCGGGCACCTGGCGGTACTCCAGGAACTCTTCCCGCACCAGATCTTCTGTGATGAGCTTCCTGGGCTCTCCAAAGATGAAGTGATTTCTTCCATCATAGATGCCCAGCATATTCAGGAACTTCCAGATCTTCTCTTCAGGGGCATGGTTGTCATTCAGGTAGATGACACCTAGCAGAGGCATCAGAAGACCATTCTTCGGCAGCCCCCAATCACCTCTCATAGAGTCACTGTAGCAGAGATCTAGGTTGCTCACCAGAGTATAGGAGTGACTGTTGGGCTTGACTTCCTTCAGCACCAGGCCAAACACCAGCTCCATGCGCTCAGAGGCCCTGCTGAGGATCTCAGGGAATTGCTCCCTGTACCTTTTATTGACTGTCTTCAGCATTTCAGACCTCTTAATGAACTCCTTCACTTTATACTTATAGAGCATGTACTGCACTAACATCTCTGCCTTTCTGGCCAGAAGATCTGTGCGAGCACTCTCAGCAGCAGCTGAGGCCTGGGAGGAACTTTCACCTTCCTGAACTTGGCCCTCGGCATCTACACCAGATTTTGAGCGTGCTTTGCCACGTGCACCAGCTCTTGAGCGTGCTTTGCCACCGACACCAGATCTTTTGCGTATAGCACCTGTAGCAGCACTGGTGGTGCCTTGGGCTCCCTGAGGCCCTTTAGGGGTGCCAGCAGCAGATGAGCTTGAGGGAGCGCTCTCTGCATCAGGAGGGGAGGTGGAGGCGGTCTCCTCTCTCCCAGATGTGGTGGCCTGATCATGAAGACCCTGGGTCTCAGTCCGGGCCTGGCGACGTTTCTCACGAGCTCGGTTCTTACTCTTCTGCCCACGGGGCATGACGGCCGTGGACAGGAACCGCAGGCAGGAGTCTGGGCCAATAGGGGATTGGGGCACCTGGAGGATGAAAAATGAGGTGACATGAGCACCTTAAAACAGGGAGATTCTACCTTGGCTTAATCAAAGGCCGCCTCTGCAGGTGTCCTTGAGGACACTGCCCAAGGAACCCACAAGGCTCCTGTTTTCCTGCTTAGCCTGTCCCCACAGAATCCCACAGAGGAAGAACAGAGGCCTTAGTTTTCCTCTGCATCCGCTCAGCCCTGCTTTGGATTTACTCAGGTGACAGCAGGTGCTAGCAGTGGGGTTTTCTACGTTTTACTTCAGTATTATCACGTCAAGTCCTGGCGGAGCCTGGGCACCCTTCCCTCTGCTACTCTGAGGTAGACACTTTAGACCTCCACATCATCCAGAAGCAAGTGAAGGGATGCCTCAGTCCACCTCCCTGTCAGGAGATAGATACCCAGTGCTGAGAGCTCAGTAGGGTCTTTTCAATCCTGAGTTCACTGGGATCATCATCCATGGTCCTTACCTTGGCTCCTTAAAATGTTTGGCACCATTCTCCATTTGCTGACTGGTGGCTGCACCTTCAGACTGACATTTCCCCTCCCCTAGACTTCGTATAAAACAGTAAAGAAGTTGCTCAACCTCACAGCCCATCCCTGACATTTCCTGGGCTGAAATCTGAGGGTTGGAATGGATGCACTGAGTCCTCACTCACATTCCTCAATTGAGCTCCTGGTAGAGAAGCTCAACTTTCTCCTGAAGTGATGACTGCTTGACAGTAAGAGCCAACCACCCTATGTCCCAAAAGTAGGAAGTGAAGATGACCTTATCTTACCAAACACAGTCTCCTGAGAACAAAATCTGTTGCAGGCAGGTTGATGTCCCTGTGGACTCTCACAAGATCTCAATTCAAGGTCTAAAGTATTTTTTTGTTTCTGTTTTTTTCTATATGTGTTTTAGAAAATAAATTTATTTTTTACAATACTACAAAATTAATTTATAATATTCTACCAGTTTCTGCCACACATCAATATGAATCAGCCATAGTTATATCTTATGTCTCCTCCATCTTGAAACTCCCTCCCACGTCACACTCCTCTTAAGTTATCACAGAGCACTGGGTTTGTGCTCTCTGTGTCATATGACTAATTTCCTCTATTTTACAATGTATGTTTTCAATATTACTCTTTCAGTCTGGCCCTCCCTCTGCCCTTCCCCCACTGTGTCCACGAGTGTTCTCTGTCTGCATCTCCACTGCTGCCCTGCAAATAGGTTCATCAGTACCATCTTTCTAGATTTCATATATATGCATTAATATATGATATTGGCTTTCCTCTTTATAACTTAATTCATTCTGCATTAAAAAAAAACTAGGAATAAAACTACCACATGAGCCAACAATCCCACTACTGGACATATACCCTGAGAAAACAGTAAGGGAAAAAGACACTTATACTCATGTTCACTGCAGCACTATTTACAATAGCCAGGACATAAAAGTAATCAAGGTCTACATTTAACTCATGACAGGGTCTAAGATTTCTCCCTCTGCTGACCACTCCATTCAGACCAAGATCCTTACTTCCCCTTCCCCATTAGCCCACAGTGGGAACTGACATGTATCCTTGAAGTCTCCCAGGGATGATGACACAGAGATGTGGTCTGAATGACGTGGTGTGGAACATCCACAGCCCTCAAGGTTCTCACCATCCACCAGGAAACCTGAAACCCTCCCTTGCCAACCTGAGGCTGCCCCCATTGATCTGGTCTCTCACTTCCCTGAGATGTCCTGGGAACTGTCATGTCAAAACTTCCAATTCTCCTAGTCCTGAAAAATAAGACTGGCGCTTTATGTGACTCCATTTTAACGGGAGGAGCCCCCATCCTCACGGCCATTAATGGCGTCACAGCCATTAATATTGTTGGGGACTAAGTCCCTTTGTTGAACTGTTATTCCATTAGAGCAAGGCTCTCACCTCCCTGATACCACCTCCAGAGGACACCAGGGGGCACCACAGTCGGCCAGCTCTACCCGGAGCCTCCCAAAACCCAGTATAGAGTAGCCGCTCAGTGTGGCGCACTTGTGGTGTCAGTCTGCTCATCGGCCCTCAGGGCCGTTATCTAGGACCTAGAGCTCCTGCGTGGGTAGAATCCAGGCCTACCCCCCCAGACCAACGCCTTCACCTGAGACACGCTAGACCGCATTCAGCCGATAGCTCTGAGGGACTCATAAGAGCCATATTAGAGGGGTGGGATGTGGATGGGTCACTTTTATTACTGGGAGAGTTGGGAAAGTCCTTTAAACTACATTCAGGTCCTCACCTTGGCTCCCAATGAGTCCTGACACTGAACAGACGCCAAACAGACGCCACAGCTACCGGTCGATCCGCTCGCTTCCAAAGCGGAAGTGGAGGGGAGCTGCGTAAGGCCCTATGTGGGGTCTCCCAGGGATGACGTCAGGGGCGGCATGCTACGGGAACACACTAGTTCAATATTCATCTGTCCTTGGGTCCTCCTTGTGCAGTGTATCAGAGCCCAGGATGCCTCCTTCTATGAACCCGAGTCTTCCAGCTCCCAAACAAAGCCCTCGCCTTCCCAAGTCCCTAGTAGCAGGAGTCCAGCTCTGCTCTGAGCATCTCTGCTTGTCAGGTGCATCGCCATTCTGTGAGCCTCCCTCGTTGGCAGAGAGATCCTCTCACTAGCACTGATGGTTCTCTCCTTAAGTCCGGTTATGATCAAGATACCACCACCTGCAGATCTGGGTTCTGATCTGGCTAGAGGAGACTCAGCCCTCACTAAGATCACACAGGTTAAATGAGGGAACAATTCAGAAGTAGCTCTTCTGGGTCTCTCAGGGCTAAGAATTTATAGAATTGTTTGGCTCCCTCTGCAGTAGTCCCCTCTAACACTCAGCATCGCATGTGAGATCCACGTTGGGCTCAGGTCCGCCCCTCTGCAAAAATGTGGCTGACTGTATTAGACCGAGGTCTCACCTCACTAAGACCTTCTAGACTGAAATCAACCTGACATCTGTGCCCAGAGCTTCATGGGGAGCACAGCATCAGTGATTTTCCAGGGCCTCCTTTTATAGTGTGTGCTACCATGAGTTCACTTTCTGATCCTCACATTGACACGTGACGAATCCTGTAACTTCACTCTCTGTTTTATGAAGCTTCTTGTCTTACATCAAGGTCCTAGTCTCCTAAGAATTCCAAGTGGGAAGTCAGGGTGATCCTTGTGTGATTCTAATGTGATCCTAGTCCATCACGGCCTCTGGGAATAGACAGTGGGGATGCAGCTTGAGTCCTTCTGGATTCCTCCTGCTCAGCATCCTCACTATATCTACCACAGTCAGGGACTGCTACTTCTACTGATCTAAGATTCCTCTTCTTAGTCTTTGGGTGACCCCTATATTCAGGGATGATTGTCTCCTCAGCCCTCCTTCATGGAGGTTCCCATATCAGCCTCTGTCCCTTGATTAAGGCTTCCTGGGAAATGCATATTCCTATAAACAGTAAGCAGTTACCCTCTAGCAAATCTTGGAGAAAACGGGTCTCAGTCCAAAAAGTGATACAAGATTAGGAAAATGCAGCAGAAATGAAGGAACTCAGGACAGATGTTATGATGTCAGAGAGATATAGGTGATATATTCCTGCTCTTCAGCCAGATTTATGGTATGTGCTTAATCGCTCAGTCATGTCCCACCCTTTGTGACCCCATGGACTGTAGCCTGCCAGGCTCCTCTGTCCATGCAGATTCTCCAGGCAAGAATACTGAAGTGTGTTACATGCCCTCCACCAGGGGTTGTGCCCAACCCAGAGACTGAACCCAAGTCTCCTGCACTGCAGGCACATTCTTTACCATCTGAGCCACCAGATTTAGGGTAGTTCTAAAATATTTACTGTTGGCACCTCCCTGTTGGTCCTTTGGTTATGCACTCCTTTTGTTAAGCTGAGCACCGAAAAATTGATGCTTTTGAACTGTGGTGTTGGAGAAGAATCTTGAGAGTCCCTTGGACTGCAAGGAGATCCAACCAGCCCATCCTAAAGGAGATCAGTCCTGGGTGTTCATTGGATGGACTGATGCTGAAGCTGAAACTCCAGTACTTTGGCCACCTCATGTGAAGAGTTGACTCATTGGAAAAGACCCTGATGCTGGGA